ATGCCATCCTCAGAACTTGTAACTTTTGGCATTAATACATTGATTTCTGCTGGCTCTAGCTCGTAAAGGAGTTCCATAGAGTCCAAAAGTTTTTTTACTTCCGACGCTCGTTTTGGGAACTCGTGTAAAATCTTCTTACAAAAGTCTTTTTTGAAATTGGTTACAAAATTGCTTTCCGGTTCATTGGAACTTCGTGCCAACATCTTTGCTTACCTATGCTTCAACAATGAAACGCTTTCAGCTGTGGGAATTATGTTTAGATTTGCGTTGGATTCATAATTCTAAAATAGTAATTGTTCAATGTTAAAGTACTGAAGTAGTGTTTGTTTAATGGTGGTGGTTTAAACCAGCATTTCGTCGCTTTAAAACGTCAAAGCAAAGGTTGTCTTTCGAAGATTACGACTGTGAATGAATTTCGTTAGATCTTATCATTTTGGATCTCTGATTTCTTGACCATCCACATGGTACGATGGATGTTATTTTAATATCATTGTTTGGTATGATCCTTTAATCATAACCTATGTCATCCATTCACCCTGATCACCAGTGAACCTAGATGAGGGACATCTAGCGCATATCTACGTTGCGGATAGTGGAACAACCCCCCAGATATTTAGATCAGAGGAAGCAACCGTGAACAGGTAGCAGCCGATGGTACCAGAGCGACGTTGGGGACAGTTCTGCAAGTTCTTCAAGTATAAATGAACATGTAACCCAGTGATGATCCTAGACGAGTGGAGACCCACCGGCAATACGGTCACCGATTTCACGGTTGTCACGCAGTTTGACATGAAAAATTTTATGGCAAAAGAGACAACTTCTCTAATATTCTAAGCAGCAGTTTTGAAGGCATCAACTAACCTAATGAAATTCCATGAAAGTCAGTGGTAACGTTCTCATCAGCAGTAAATGACACTGATGTTGATCTGCAGACAGCAGGATGAAAAGGCTTCCTCGTGGTTTCTTCTAACATTAATATAGGCGAGGACTGAAATTCCTTCGATACGAGTTTTTAAATGGAATGCCTTTCTTGCAGACTCAGCTGTGATAAAGGCTAAGAGCTGTGCCAAGTCAATCAACAGTTTCAAAAAACCATCGCCTCTTGAATTCTTTCCCATAATTCCATCTAATCTAGGATACATGAGTCAATCACAAAATTGCATCCAGATTTAAATTCTTGGACATTTCAGATCGAATTTCGTCTTCCCAATCGGCATAGCACATTCTGGATATTTGATCGCTGCCGCGAACTCGATAGTCGTGACTCACCGCTGGCCAATATGTTGTAAGTTTTCGACATAAGCTAAGGTAATTGTTAACCTTTTCTTTCACTATCGGATTCATACTGCATACAAGCACCGCCCCTTGCTTCAGCGGCCTAGAGGACCATCACAGCTCCATGGTAATTGAACACCTGCAGCGTATGGATGCAAAACCACATTACTAGGCAGAGGCCTGTTCGGACACCTGTTGACATACCAGTCCGTAAGCATATTTATACGTAAATATAAACCCCAACCCTATCCGTTTATTAGCATACTGATAATTTTCGATACCGCCGTTAAATTGGCGTACGCAGCCATTTGGGATATACTCTGACCTCCAAGCCGTTTGTCATAGCTAACGGTTTATCGCTGTTGCATACGCAAATTCGCTCTTCTTTTCATATTCATGACAACTATCTATTTCTTGATGTGTCTCAGCTAGTGCGTTAAAATTCTGTAATGGAATTTGATCAGCGTAGTTGACTCGTCCAGGGCATCTGTGGGGTAATCGAAGATTACGTGCTTAGACCTTCACAGAATACACCGTTTCACATTGTATTTCTCTAGTTTAAACAACTAGATACTTGTCTCAACTGGGTCATGGATCTTTCAGTTAATAACAAAGAAGTCATAAACTTGCTCTTGTACCAACTCACCTCAATGGAAAGCGGTCACTCTTTGTCGATGAATAAGATACACAAATACATATAGCTAGTAACAACCGTGCTTAACTATATGTACAGTTAGCACTTAATTCATGCAGCTCTGGAAAAACATTAGTTTCTAATGGCTATACGTCACGCATATAACAATGTACAGAATTTAATTAATTAAATTTCTAGCTACAGAACTGATGCAATCTGCACCCCGCAAACGCTGACGTAACGACATTGAAAGGGGGATATTTATCCTAAGAATAGACTTCAAAAATAGAAATTTATGGAAACATTTACGTTCATTTAGCTGATGAACTGCGAGCGATCATATACGAAACTGCGTATGTTTCAAAGCAATTCCGGGCAAGATAATGATCTGCCATTAATGATTTGTACAGACATTGCTAAACATAAACATACGATCAATCATAACACTACTGCCACCAGGTAGCGTGATTCATGGCTAAGATGCAAAGAAAATTATAAACTTCAAGCGAAAGCCTGATATATTTAACACAGGCACGAGAATCTATTTAGGTAGATGGAACGATTAACCAGGAATGATAAATGCTTTAAGTATCAAGAGCAATGAACTGATTTTAAATCGCACAATTTTTCCTAAATTCTGTGTAAAGTCACGTCAACTTTAAATATCTTAATATTAGTCCATAACAGTAATGAGATCCAAGCGCTTCTAGTCACACTTCCTGCATTAAGTTAGTAAAGCCTTTAATAAACTTTAACGTTGCAATGATTATCAAATATTTTCAATTATCATCAAACAAAGCGGTCGGTTAAAGGAACAGAAGCCAAACAATGAAAACAGTCACCTTAGATTCACAAGAAAAAAACAAAATGCCGAAAAGAACTGCTCGTCACTATTTCAAAAACTGAGATAGCCCAAACGTTGATGGGAGATCCGCTCTACGCTTTCATGGCTGAGTGACCGATCGGTATGCGTGTCTCGGATTACACCTGCTACACCACTGACCATGCAATCATATACTCAAAAACAAGTAGCAATCATGTAATAAATTAAAATGTGCAACACAAACGGTTAAAACAAAGTACAAAGAATATCAACTGCTAACATGACGCTATAAAACGTATTTACAAAACAAAATTGTTCAGGATACAATATGATCGGGAGGAAGACCAGCTTCGTATCGAGTCCACATCTTATAATACAGATCTTCAAGATCATTGCAGTACTGTTTTACATCAAATAGCGTGCAAGAGGTCCTCACTTTCCACACTTTGGCTCGAATTCTCCGCAAGCTAAAAAATACAGCAGGTCAGATATGATGATTCTATGAAGAAAATTCTCTTGATTACTATTCAGCGTCGTTTCCAAGCCGGACTGCAATGTTCACATAATCGTCCCTACTAGATGCAATAAGTTCAGGACAGCCCAAAGCGGTTAGTTGGCTAGAAGCCACACGCGATGCAAGCGTTTCCACTGTGAATAAGAAACAACGTTCGCATAGAACAACTAAAGCTTAGGCTGAATTAAAATACTTGGAAGTGTAAGCATCGGAGTGCCAGTCCATAGAATATCCATTCCAGTCGTATGGCCATTGCACAACGGCGTATCAAGACAAACATCCGCCAGCTGACCCCGACGAACATGTTCTTCCTTGGCTGCCACGTTGCTGAATTTTAAACGTTTGGGATCGACACCTCTCTCTTCACAAAAGCGCATTATATTTTGTTCTGCATGGGCGGGAAACCTCAGAAGCCACAAAACGCTGTTTGGCACACGTATCAGAATCTAACGCAGATCAGGTGTCATATTAAAAGATCACCAGTAAACCACCATAATCACCTGACACCACATCTTCAAAGTCGGTGGGTCAATTTTGTACATTTGGTTAAAGTTGCAATAGACAACCGCATCTTCCGGAAGATTGTACTGCCGCCTGCTGGTGACAAGAATTGAACGAGGAACCTCCTCTCCTGTGGCGGCTTTGATATGTGTCTGCAACAAACAATGCCAATATATAAAAAAGACAAACTATAAAATGATTTATAGAAAAAGATTTACTTGAGTCAATGCAGTAAGCCCATTTTGAACCGGCACACCTTCGAGTGATGTTTGAACCTGACCAGTAGTGAACATATTCTCAACGGTTGCAGTTGTTGCCACCTCGAGTACTGGCACCACGACTTCGGTAACTCTGATTTCCTTTTCGGGACCATGAAACACTTCTGCTTCACGAATAAGTGCCTAAAATTCATGTGCAGGGGAACCTGATAAGGTGACTAATCGAAAATAAATTAATTTTCAGCGGAGCATTCTAAAAGGATTACGCAGTAATAAAATTTCACAACTGTAATATGAATTCTGCGTTTATAATTGAATGATTCTTTGCTTTACAAGAGAGACAGGGGACACTTTATTACTGCATCATAGACTTTTTACGAAATATAGTTACTCATTGACAAAATACGGGTAGAAATAGCACACTAGGTTTGGATATAATTCAATTTTAAATAAAATTGAAGTCCGCTCTGCCGTGACTTGCTCAAATGGCATCTTAGGTCACTAAGAAGCAAGAAGATAGTGCAATGTTGCGGTATAGCATTAAATAATGACTTCCAAAAGTACTGCGCCATGTATCACACCGTATCGGCGTAGAGGAAAAATTACACCATTTTCAGTGTACACCGGGTGCCGGTATCGGTGGCAACTGGAATGCCAAACAGGTAAATTAACAGAAGAGAAGATGCCGAAGAGGTGCCATCAGACAAAAACTTCAACTGAAATTTTGAAACTCATAGGTGTGGCCTACTTTTCGAGTTCTAAGTACACCACTTTCTCTGAAGAATCTACATTTTAACCCACCAAATCTACATCATTATTATTCCACAACATGTAATCCCAAATCATTCCAAAAGCAGTTGTTTGCAAATAGTAGTTGTTGCATTCCCAAACATCTACCAAAATTGATGATTCGGAACAGTGCTGCTCATATTAGTCATGCGATACCAAAATACTGTTTATTTTTCATGCATAATATATAGTATTTACTATATCCCGTCGGTGGGCATCTGCCGGACAAAGTGGATAAGGTCATATTTTATGCTATTGAATACTTCAGCGTTTACAAGGCTAAAGGTCGAAAGGTGTACGGATACATGAAGACTTCAACCTGTCCTGAATAATCTAACAATCCTCGAATCATCAGGGGAAATATTCGATTAATCCCGAAAAGCAATGAAACAACTACAGTCAAATTACGACAGATTAATCAGATGTATTTTTTGATAAATGGCTGAAAATTATAAAGTAATTTAAAAGTTTTAAACATGTTTATTAAAATTTACACTCTAGCAACGCAGCAACGTCACAACTAATAACAAAAAGTCACTCAAATATTTTTGTTACCTTAACGTCCGCTTTAGACATGATTGGCTCAAGATTGGTTGCATTTACGAGGGTAACATTGTCTTTCCTAGGATCCATTGGTCTGTCTCTGCCTTTAAGTATAGCACGTTCGGTCAGGTGGGGGAACATTTGCATGTGATCGCCGATGAAAAATGTGTGGGGCATATAAGCAAGTTTCTCTGAATACGCGTGTGACAGTTTAAGTGGCGAAGTCACGGCATCCGTAATTATATAATCCATAAACGGAGCACCACTCGTACCGGGGTATCCCAACCACATAACCTAAATGAACAAACATACCGCAATGAAAACAAAAAGACAACCGAGCGCAAGTATACTTGAATTGGCGCTGGTTGTAAAGCGAAGATTTCGTTTCGAGCCCCTTTTGTATAACCATTCATGTTCACGAGAATATGTATGCCGTCAGCAGCGATTCTGTCAGCAGCTTTTCCATTATCGCTGACCTAGAATTCAAATTCATTTAAGCACGAGATTATCCGCAAATGCAAAACTTTTTAACAGCCTTCTCGTTAACCATTTTATCGACATTTGTTTTAGCACTAATCTGTATTCGCTTTCTTACTATTCTGAGCATTTTAGACAGTAACTCTGAAAACAGCACATACTTCTCTATGTGAGAAATGACAGTGTTTCGGTAAGTTATAAACGGGATAACACAAAATCAATAACTATTAACATTAGATACAAATACCGACATGTCGGTCCAAGCCCAATCCGTATTCAAGCAGTAGCTCTGAAGTCGGACTACCCGGACAACACTCACTTATGACTTTCAAAAGTTAAACAGTTTAGAACACACAGTAGGCATCAAAGATTATCAGCTAACGACTATTAGGATACTGGCTAAAAGAGCATCTAAACGGAAAACACGAGAGAAACTGTCGCTATTTCAGATGAGCCATTAAAAAAATATTTTGGTCTCAGCAGTGGCTTAACGTTAGTGCTCAAGCATCATGAACCATGTTTCATATTTGCAGAGCAGCACGAGCCAAAATGCATTATTAAAACCGTCGGTCAGAAAATGAATTAAATAGGCAACTAGTGCATGTACTTGTACATCTCTTAAATTCAATTCTTAATCTTAAAAGCGTAAGCTTGCAGCAGCATTTACGTCAATACATTTTCAGCCCTTGAAAGAAATCACTATAAATACACTCACAATACACATTTTATTCTATACGCATATAACTAATAGGCACACACCGAATTCGATATTTAAATAACCATTCTACACACTGTAATTGCGGACTGAATCTTCAGTTAACTGCTAAAACTAAAGATAAATTTAAAAATACTTGCACATAAAGCCTAAAAGTTATTCTGAAAACATTTGATGTTTTCACGCAGATTATACAAATTCTAAAATGTGCACATATTTAAGGAATATTTTATGCGTCTTCCAGGTAGCGATATACCAAAGTATCACGTGCACATTTATATTATTTAATTATTCTGAGTACACTGAAATAGATGGGCACATCTAATGCTACATTTCAAAAACTGGAAACATTAGATACATGGATTTTTCGCTGAACATTGTTGTCGTAACTCTGGAATTCATGTGAGCCCTTTCGATACGATAAACAAGTAGATAGTATAATAACAAAAAGAATAGACCACGTTCTTCGTGCTATACGTCATGAAGTTACATTTGAACAACTGCAACTAAATGAATTATAATCAGATGCACTAAAGAGATCTAAAAACAAAGCAATAAAATAACTTATAAATAACATTAAAACAAAACTGATAATACCTTAATAAATTGAAGACTCGAATACAACGCATGAAAGCAAAAATATGCTGAGAAATACCTGTGAAAAATCGATGAAGTGGTCAGCACCTGCACAAACCTTCCTCCGAAAGTTCGTGTTATCGTCGGCACTGAGCGCATAGCAAAATATTTCAACTCGCTGTCTATTATGCATTCCCGGTATCGACTGCATCAGATGACTGGTCGGGTGGTTGCCGAAATCAGACGACACGTACCCAATCCGAAGTCGTCCCCTGCTGGCCGACAAATCCCGTGGATATTGGTATGGCAACTTGTGCAAAACGCTGACCTTCTCCAAACAAAGCTGCGCGTGACGAGCGGCAATACCCTTACGCTGGGCATGGCTCAGCGGATATAGCATTGAATGGTGCGGATGTACTGAAGGCAATCTATTCTTTTTCAACTGATCCTCAACGAAATCGACAATCTTCTGCAAGCGGGCGTCGTAATCCGTCCAATCACAAATCACCTATAGAAAAAATTATTTAATTTCAAATCCACAAAACGAAAACAAAAAAAAAACACTCAAGAGCGAATCAATTTTGCAATGAAGTGAATTCTGATGCATTTCTTTATTCATTTCATCATTAGCAAATTACACGATTTCATTCTACCATAAACCTTTCTCGCTTAGTCCCTTGAAATCGTGATACCAGTAACAGAATTTGAAAACTATCCCACCCCCCGTTTTTGTAATAATTTTGACTCGGCACTCCTTAATACCTTATGTTGTAATATTCATTTTTTTACACTCACTAGGAGTGGCTTACTCATTACTTCAGCTTTAAATCTACAAAAACTTAATGGGATACTCGTAATGAATATCCTAGCTTATCATAACCGGGTCACTTTCAACAGTTCATTGATCTTGATCATTTCACTGACTTCAGAAGCGGCTGATGAACTTTTCTCACTACTTTATTACCACCGTAGGAAATACTTCTGTCGTTACTCTTAGAACCACGGCAATTTCCATCTTTATGAATCAATACCCGTTCTCACTCTCACAGCGAGTGATATTACTGACCGTGAGCCCCATTATTGAATAGTTTGCCCTTTCACTCTGTATATCAATAACATACAAATCTAATTATTAGCATCCTTGGTTACTTCAGCTTATACAGAGCTAAAATTTTAAAATCTGTGCATTGTTGAACCCGGTCGAAGCACCTCTGACCATATATTTGCCTTGCACCAGATTGTTGAGAAATCGTGGGAGTATGCCCAGCCGGTGTACATGTGTTTTGTGGACCGGATCCCACGCAACAGCCTGTGGACATGCCTTCGTACACACGGGAATGATGGCAAGTTGCAGAGGGCCATCCAGTAATTGTATTCTGATAGCAGGTGCTGTGTCAGAGTTAACGGCGTTAAGTCGAAACCATTCAGCGTTCGCACTGGTCTCTGCCAAGGCTGCGTTCTGCCCCCATCCTGTTTGTGTTGTAT